AACCTCACACTCAGTGTGGCACCTACCCAGTTCTTCTTCCAAGTAGGTAATGTGTCTCCCATTGTCCGTGAGGGCCTTGAAAACTTCCAGTCTTTCGTGGAGGTCTTCGTTGGAGGGGTAATCCTTAATAGCCTTGAAGAATAGGGCCCTGAGAACGCCCAAGCGGTCCCCCTTAAGACAAAATCACGAGGTCACAGTCCTGCCAGGATCCTCTAGCTACCTGGGATTCCTGAGCAGCTGTAAAAAGTCCAGGAAGTGCAGTGGGCTCCAAGACTCCCAACTCAGGGCCCTTTCTCCTTCCCACAGAAACTGGCTGTGAAGGACAAACTAAGAATATTGGAGTGGCCTGGGGTAAGAGATCAGATGCACTGGTCATTGGCTGACTGGTGTGTGTGGAGCACCCACTATGTGTCCAGCTCTGGGCACAGGAATTGAATTGGCACACAGGAGGGACAGTACAGTTCCGCCTTCCAACCCACTACGCTCATAGCCCAGGGTGGACACATTTGTGCTCACAGGACGACAATGGTCTAACCGCACCAAAAGTGACGGAGCATCTTGGGCAGCTGGGTATGAAAGAGTAGAGGAAGTGGCAGGGGTGGGAGGCAGAGCCTTCCATGCAGGAATGACAAGTGGTGGCCTGGGAAATCCAGGAACAGCAGAGATCAGCACGGCCAGTGCATGGCGAGCACAGGCAGTGAGTGCCCCAGGGTGAGGGGAACAAAGTCCAGTGGAGCAAGAGCACAGTGGTTCACTTGTGCCAGGCTCTGTTCTCATCATTTTGCATGAGTTGCCTCATTTACTCCCCAAAACATCTCCGAGGAGGAAGGAGCATGAGCATCCCCTTTTATAGGTGAGGAGGTGGAGGCTCAGGGAGCTCCACTGACTCACCCAGAGTCACACAAATACAAGAGGCAATGCCAGGATGCCCACTCAGGCCATCTAGCTGCAGAGCCCCTGAGAACTACAAACCCTGTGCCTGGTGCCTTCACCAAAGACAGGAGTCCAAGTGGGACCAGCAGGAGCAGTGAGTGGGCAGCTCGACATCATCCCACACACCCATCCCAGCTCCACCCGGGCACAGGCCCACTGCCCCTTACCTGCCCCTGCACAATAGCCTTCAGCAGAGCCAGGACTGCATGTCGGGCCTCTGGTGGCCGCTCCGGCTGCAGCAGGTCTGCAACGGCCTTCCAGAGTGCTTCCACTGCATGCTGCCACCGGCAAAGAAGGGACGGCAATTAGGGTATGCTGGCCCCCTCAACTTGGGAGGAAAAGATAGAGCAGAACAACAGGGTCTTTTGACTTAGATCTTGCACCTCTAAAGCCCCTAGCTTATGTACCTGTCACAGCCCACGGTGACCATGAACCTGACAAAGGGAATAGCATCAAGCCACTTCAAAAACTTAGTAGATCCCTTTAACCCTCATCAGGCCACAGGCTGGGGAGGAAGGAGAGCAGACAGGACAGGGGAGCGGAGCAGTCTTGGCTGCCCCAGAGATCACAAGAAGTTCCCCTGAGAATTTGCTCAGACTCTGGTAGAGAAAGTCACTGAAAGAGTCTCAGAACCAGAAGCATGACAATGGTCCCTGGGCCTGCAGCCTGACCCAGAAACTTGCTCCCTGGCTTCCCTCCGTGTAAACCCACCAGCGCAGCCACAGGCCACTCAATACTACACCCTGCCCTGACTCTTCTGCCCAGCCTGACCTGCCAAGAACTCTGGCAGACTTCTGGAATCTGCCTCCTCTAAGTCCACCCAGCCTATGGGAGAGCTGTGTCCCGTGCCCCACAGCTACCCAGAATCACCTCTCATGTCACATTCCCTTCTCTATGTTAACCATCCCAGACTCCTTTCAACCAGGGTTTTCAGACCACTCAATCTTTCCTGGGCTCACTCTTCTTAGACATGGGACTAAAACTTCTTTCAGAAGTTATCTGACCGACATTCTGACAAACTCGGGATACACTGGAACTTTCACCTCTTTTGTCCCATTCATAATACTTCTAAGTCACAAAAACACAGACAGTGAGCCTGTGGACTCTTCCAAGCTTCTCAGGCTTATCTGTCTATTCACATGACGGAAGCCCAGCCATACCTCATCTTTCCATACCTATATAAGCAACTTTATGAATGCAGATGCCTATTTTCATATTTATCCTTGGTAATGTGCAGCTTGCGTGTTTCAGATGATCTGCTGAGAATGTAGTGGTCACTCTCCCCCTTAGCAGATATAAATCTGCTAGGTATGAGGTCCACATCTCTCCTGAGTCACTCACACAAACATGGGACTAGAGCAGAGGCCTGGAAGTGCTCTAATGACAACTTCCCACTCTGTCCACAGGATGTCAGGAGAGAGCCTGGAAGCAGTTGGCTGAAATAAATATGCCTGTCTCTAAGGCTGCCTGATACCATCAACCAGACATGCATCTCCAAAAAAGACACCAAGACTGGTGTGCTTTGAATTGTTCTCTGTGAAACCATATTCTTTCCTGACATTCCTCTATTTTTCCTTCCCTTAAATTTGCAATGAGAAGACAAACAAGCATACATATCTGTAAGCCACTACAAACCCTTTCTCAGATCTGCTACAAAAGCTTTAATCCCTTTACTTCCACCTACCCACAAGACTGGCCCTTCAGGGTTGTGCTCAGGGCATTTCCAGACACTTCCGCATCACTAAGATGAAGATTAAATTGGTGTGTATCAGTTCATTAGCAATGTTAGCTGTCAATCCTGCTCCTAAAAAGAGCCAAATCAGGCTTCTAAACAGCCTGCATGCATCTCTTCAGTACATCAAGTGAGACAGACCTACCTCTTCGAATTTCTTCGTTTTTGCGATTTCACAAATCTGCCCTATCACCCGGATGCGATTGTTGAGGCCGCATTCAACACTCAGTTCCTGGAAAGAGATGAAAGAAGGAAAAGTGGCCCAGGCTCTGGCAACAGATGTCCTTAAATGCCCATCACAGACCACCCTAAGAATTGTACCCACCCTGGAGACTTGCAGCAGACCTTTTTGAAACTAGGAATCACCAGTTTACTACTCCATCTCACCAAAGTGAGAACAGACTTCCTCCCCATCGATGCATATTTTTATTGAGATAAAAACCCCATCATATAAAACGCGCCATTTCAAACCAAACAATTTAATTTTTAGTAGATTTATAATGCTTGTAATCACCTCCATTAATTCCAAAACATTTTCATCACCTCAAAAGGAAACTTTACACCCATTAACAGTCATTCCCCATTCCTTTCTCCATCTAGGCCCTGGCAAATGCTAATCTGTCTCTACTGGTTTGCCCATTCTGGACATTTCATATAAATGGAATCACATTACAAGGGTCTTTGTAACTGGCTTTTCACTTAGCATGTTTTCAAGGTTTATCCATGTTGTAGCACGTATCAGTGCTTCATCCCTTTTTTTTTTTGACAAATAATACTTCTTTACGAATGTATCACATTTCGTTTATACAACTGACCCTTGAACGATGTGGGTTTGAAACTGTGAGGGTCCATGTATACATGGATTTTTAAAATCTGCGTTTAAGTGGGCCCGTGCAGCTCAAACCTGTGTTGTTCAAGGATAAACTCACCAACTGATAAATATACATTTTGGTTGTTCTGAATGGGAAAGTTTACAAGTGTAAAAACTCAACATTTATTCATGAGCAAAATATGGTGCCAGGCATATGGCAGGGGGATTCAAACACAGACAAAAAATAAAGACTTCTCACAGGGACTCACAAATTACCAGTTAACAGCTGGCCATAACCCTAATCACCTGTGGAGACCAGTGTTCAGGCCCCATCTAATAAGTTTTCTTGTCTCAACATCTAAATACTAACTCATGTGCTGAACCAAATCACCAAGATTCTGACTTCTGAATCTCCAGAAAAAAAAGACATGTATGTTCCCATGGTACTGGAAACAGCAGCCTGGTACAGAAGGTCACCAGCAACCTATCTTCCAGAGAACTTGTTGACAGAACAAATCCGTCTTCCTTGCACCTCCCACAGTCTAGGAGGAAAGACACTAGTAGCTCACTCACTCTCAGGATTTCCGTTGTGATGACAAACTCCGTCTGTTTGCCCTCCGCAGACCTGGGATTTGGCCTTGGAGTTCCCAGTCCCAAAAGAATCTTAAACTTCTCCTTCAAGCCTGAATCTTTGCTTGTTGGCTTGGCGC